TGCTGAATGAAAAACATACCTTACGATCTGTTTGCATTCTGCTCCAAAGCTTTGAGGAAAACAAGAGATGGTGTTTATGTATTTTATCACCACTTCTGTGTACACTGTATTCTGAAATCGTTCTATTTATAGACATCATACACAACAGTACAACTCCACTAAGAATACAGTTCAGAAATAAGAGCTGTAAACTAAAGCTGCAAAACACACAACCCAGATTACTAGAAACAAAGCACTTCTCTTTCTAACAATGCCTTGGCTCCCTAAAGTGAGGGTGGCAGTATTAGAAAAATGCCAACTTTCCAGGTCTTCACTTAGGTGCTGCTTCTCCTTTATGCTGACAAGTACCAGAAACAACAATTAAGCCTGCTTGCTTCTGGGTACATCCAGAATAGCAAGCATGCAAACAAATCTACAAACTGAATTTAGGGCTAGATACTTTTGCAATTCCCTTCAAAGTTGTTCACGATTCAGGAACTGATCTTGCAAGTTAGCATTCTCAACTCTTGACAGCAGTCAGTACTCTAGGTTTCAAAGGAAAGTCCAAGAAACCCTGTGAAGGGAAGGCAGTGTCTTTGAAAAACGCAGCCTCTAAGATGCTCCACCTAACTTGCCAGATCTATAGATGTTCTCACTGCTAATACTATTGCTTCATGTTTCCCTCTTAAAAAATTTACAGGGGAAAAAAATCCCCTATGTGCTGACCCAGTGAGCGCGGATGCCTGTAAATACCTTAACTTTTTTAAACTCCTGTTTTACTCTTGACTTCAAAAAGGAACTTCCCTACCTGCCTAAGACTGTGCAGCAGGCTTAGGTACATTGGTGCAGTGTCTCCTGGGACAGGGACTCCACAGGAGATGGTGGTGATAGCCCTGCTGGGTTACAGCAAAGTCAACCACACCACTGATCACACATCTAGATACGGCTGCTGCTCCAACTCCCCTGAATTTTCCTGAATGCGTGTCCTGGATTTGCCAGGACAGAGTAAATTTTATTCTCAGTAATTAGAATAGCTGTGTTTTAGTTTCAGTGTAGGATTTGTTATGAGAAGAAGGTTGATAAAAGTACTAATGTTATTAGTTGCTGCTGGGGCTCAAGGCAATGGTGTTTGGCTGGTTCACAGCTGCATTAGGACTGGGAGGGAGAAGTGCAGTGAACAGCAAAACCAAAAACTGGCATTCGGATATGCCAATGAAATATTCCAGATCAAGTCATGTCATGTCAGTACATTAACGAGGGTTGACCAGAAGATGAGGGTATTCTCTCGGGGATCGCTCAGGCTCTCGCTCTTCCAGTGTTTTGGTTTCAGGACTGTCTCAGCTCCTGGATCACAGGCTGGCACAGGCCGGGCATTGGTCAGCAGGTGGCGAGCAGTTGCACTGTGCATTCCTCAATTGCATATTCTCTTATCACTGTTTTTTTCATTATAATTTTATTTTAATTAGTAAATAGTTTTTATCTCAACCCATGAGTTTTCTTGTCCTTTTCCTTCCAATTCTCTCCCCTACTCCCTGGGCGAGGCGGGGGGGAGGGTGAGAGAGCAGGCTGTGTTTGGCTGCAAGGTGCAAGCCAAAAGGGCGAATCCAACCAAACCACCACAATGTGACATGGTGGAACTGCAATGGCAGAGGTTACCCCAAACCTCTGTTAGAACTAGCATCCTACAGCCAAGGAAGCACATAGTTTTCACTATCTGCTCAATGCAGTATAACTGGTGTAACAATCTGACATATGGCAGCTGGTGTGGGCTAAGCTCCCTTGCACAGGTGTTATTAAATATTGCTTACAGCGAAAATTATCAAGGCAACTTGAGTTTGGTTGTGGTTCTTTAAAACCTCTCCTCATAGACCCACTTCTTTGGCTCCAGAAAGTAAGGCTGGTGTCAGAATACACTTAAGCCCTGGTAATGCACTGGGGACACCAACACTGGTACAACACCAGCTCAGCTCCTAAGCAACATGCAGGCACTAAAAAGGTGAGTCTTTCTGGCTGACTCGTTAAACTCTCCTGGAAGCAAGGGGAAGTCCTGATCCAGTCTGAGCATTGCATAGGAAATAATACCAAGAGAAATTAAAGAGGTAACATATCCTAGGTCTTCCTCATAGGAATGCAGAAAGGATAAGATTATTCAAAGTTAAGTAGCAAGAAGTCAGCTCATGGTTGTCACCTACCTCAAATTCCAAAGGGTGGTCTTAAATGACAGAAAAGACTCCTTCAGAACTCACCCCATTGCTTAACAAACAACTGCTATTATTACAGAAATTTAAAGCCTGGTATAAAAAGCCAAGGCCAGAAGACACAGGCACAACAAATAAATGGTATAACAAATTTTAAAAGTAGAACTAATGAAAAGACTAAAAATACGCACTTACTCATTACTGGGCCATCTCTCTTTGAACTCACAAAACATGTTACTGTTAACTGACTTGCTAGTTGTCTATGCAAATCATAACTCAGCTGCCTTTAAAAAAAGGTTTCTGAAAACATATTCAAATATTAATAATAGAAAAATGAGCCATTTTTATAACAAAAATCTTGATTTATTAAAAGCTGGAATTGGTTAAAAATAAATCCTTGACATAAGGTTCTTGTTAGCTTTAAACTGTAAGCATAAAAATACCCTAGAATTATGTTTTGGTATGGATGAAATGTACACTATATAACACATAAAAAGAGCTTTGACTCACTGCTATTATTTTTAATTAGGCTCTCTAGCACGTATGGTTTTACCTTCCAACACCAATTCAAATTTGGGAGAAGGGAGGGTCTGACTCTCCAAACTCATGGGACTGGCAATTCCGTGGCTCATGCCTTGGAGCACTAATGCATTTTACATTAGCTCTAAGCATCAGGAAATCCTGGCTTCTGGCGCCAAGGAGTTCAAAACGATAATGACACACATCTGAAAACTAGGATTCGCCGTTCGACTGCCAGTATCTATTCTATCAAACAATTCAGTCCTGCTCTGTTACAAATAGGACAGAACATTTGCAGCAGTCCATGCTGTTTTCAATTAGACTGTGTCTGGACTGCAGATAAATCCATGGAGCAATCATATTGAAAAAAGCCTTCCTAGAAAACAGAATTCTAGTGAGAAATTTGAATATTTACAGAGGCTATCAACAACAGGCAATTACCAAGTTTGTCGTTAGCCAAACTGCAGTTTCTGTCTGTTCTCTTTCTTGAGGTGAGCCACCAAAATGCCTTGAGACATTACAAAGTAATTCTACAAATAGTTAATTTAACTAGGTACACACCAGATGTATTTTGCTACTCACTTGAGTTGGAATACAACCAGATTAAAAAGCAGTTTACTAACATAGCTCCCCGAGAAGGAATTGAAATTTGAGGTTGAGTGATCTACTTTAACTTATACACACGGACACTCAAGATTTCTGCCCCCCCCTTCCCCCAGCTGAAAGCTTTCTGGCAAAACAAGAGCATCTTGACTGGAGTTATATCTAAGTTTATTGGAAACAAAGGAGTCCACCCTACGTACCTTTCCCAGCACCTCCACAGGGGCAGGAAGACTGTTGGGACCACATACCCATACAAAGTTCTGGTTAATACAGAAAGATGTCACCTCCTGGTTTATCTATTTTAAAGCTGGAGATGGTAACTCACACAGTAAGACTCCAAGAGTAGCACGTAGCTTACGCTTCCCTCAGTTTCACTATCACTTGCATGCTCCAAAATGAAGGTTGTGTATTTGGAAATGATCAGTGCCAGTATCTCCTTCCCAAACACAAGCTCTGCGCAAAGGGCTACACACTGGTCTGAACTTGATCCTTACTGGGTATAAACACTTCCTTTTTTCAAGGGGACTCATCTCTTAAGTCCTACTTTTTTTCCTGATCTAAGCATTTTAGTTGTTTTAGTTTGTTCTTAAAAGTGTCGCCACCATTTCACCCTTGCTGAACATTCAGCTTTCTGGTTCATCACAGGTAGAATAAACAAACAAGTGTAACCTTCCACCACCCTTTAACAATTACAAGAAGCCAAAGTAAGGGAGAAAAGTCCTTTTTGCTTCAGCTGTACAGACTGTGAATTACTCACATTTTACAATGGTGACTAAAGTTCTAAGTGGTGAAAATAACATTCTTCCTTTGAAAAGAAACAACTTCAACCACAGGGCTGGGCATGTCAAGATAGCATCCTGTTAAAGTGAATTCTCTACCTTGACTGTAAAGTGATGGAAATATTTCTTGCTAATGAGTGTACATAATTCATGCTCTATAAAAGGCATTTCCTAAATACTACAGGATCTATGAAGATTTCATTCTTTGAAATGAGTCTTTTCTATTTTGAACTCGTGGGAGAACTCTACTCAGAAATTCAAACTGGAACAGCTTGCTAACATTCAGAGAAGCAGAGGTCATCAACCAGAAGGAGAATTCAAAGAAACATCTCCCAAAAGCCAGGCTGACATCTATTGCTCATCTTGCAAATTTTCAAAGTGCCATCACTAATCTAACCTAGAATACTTTGGGAAGACTTAGGTTAAGGAAAAAAACAACAACCAACCAACCAAAAAAACCCCCCAAAACCCAAACCCACAGAAATAGTTTGGGCAGCTGAGAACCTTAATTTTTAACAATTTAAGAATATTGGAAACAAAAGTCTTCTAGGTAATCAATATCTCAGGCCTCTCTTTAAATATTTCCCAACAACGTCTGAATAGTATTTGAGTAATGGTCATAACGTAGTTAGTTGTGTGTTCTAGTTTTACTTTGCTGTTCTACAGCTTTTGGAAAGCTATGATGTATTACAACACACGTTAATATGTTATAAGAAACAGGTCATTCAGAAGACAGATTAGAACTGCTTTTTCAGCGTAAACCATTCCCATTGCTAAGAGGGCAAAAATTGTTGAACACCACAAAGAAAGCCCTGTAAAGAAACTCAAATAGTCGGTTTTGGATTATATGCATTCTTTACAGACAGCAATTTACCTGCTAGAGAAGGGATGCTGCCCAACAAAGTCGCCATTCTGAAGATGGTAATCGCTGAAGAAATCTGGACTCACCGCTCCATCGGGGGCTATGAGGCCATCTATAAAAACAAGAAAGATAACACGACTGTATGAAGGAGCACGACTTCAGGGCAAATGGGCAACACAACCTGTGCTGGTTTGTCTCAGGAATTCATTAGCAACTTGCAGTATTTCTGGGAGGAACATCAAGCAACAATAACACTGAAAACCAGCAACTTCAATCACAAAAAAGCCTCACTGGGACTCCAAGTAGTTCAGCCTACTGCTCTGAAAAAAGCTGTATCTAAGAAATATTCTCTTACCCTTTCTTCCTCAGGCTTGTAAAGGTTATATCAAGTCCCATCTTGTCTGCCCCATCATGAAAGTGAGCCCAGAGAAAAAGTAGTGAGAAGGGTCAAACATTAATCTGGGCCAGCAGCGTAAGAACAGAAAAGCAGCAAAGGTCTTAATTGTTCAGACTCTACCCTTCACCACCATACCTGCTAAAACTGGTTCAGAAAAACAGGAAAGCAACTTCAAATGTAATTCTTTCATGATACTTTATTGTCTTCTAGTGATTTCCTAAAAGGGTGGTTTTTTCACATGACATCCTCTCAAGAACATAGGTTATAGGTTTCTTTTGCTTCCTTTACATTAAAACACTGGCATGTGAAGATGCAAACATTTGTAAAGCCAGTAGTGTTCCTTAAAGGTTTCACAGTCTCTGCTTGCTGTACAAGGAAGAGAAGAAAATCAGGGGCTAATATTTTCCCTCTGTTACACCAGTGTAAATCCAGAGTCTCTTTGAAGTAAAGTCAGTGAACTGATCCCAGCTGAATGAGAGCTCAGCTTAACTCTTTCCTGTTCCCATTCACAAAACACATTTCTTGTTAATATTAAGGGCACAGTTCTTACTTGGTAATTAGTATTAGGCTCTAATCAGATAAAACGAGCCATTTCATTAAAACAGACCCTACATCAGTTCATCCCCATTACTGTATGAAAACAACCCCAGACTTGCAGCACAGAAAGCATCTCAATAAAAACAGGGCAGAAACAGGTACATTCAGACTGATACTTTAATAGTATAACAGACGAGAGAGAGAGATTCCTAATGACTAGGAAGTTACAAATGCCATACCACTTTAAAGAAAGAGAGATAAGATCCAAGGAGTCACAGGCCACTTGGCTTAACCTCTGTGGTTTCAAAACTACTAAAACTGCCTGTGCAGGAAGCAGTGGAAAGTTACTTACAGACAAAAGGGCTTAGAGATGATGACTCAGGCATTCAAACAAATCTCCCTGTGCTTTATGAATTTACCTGATGTTTTTTTGAAGATAATATAGTGACAAATGATAAAAGGAATAGAACTGACACATCTAGATTTTTAACAGGCATTTGATGAGGTGTTACAGAGATTCATTTAGAAGATAATACCTCATGGGAAAGTGACTGAATACAACGCAACAGATTGTAAATGAAAAATGCTAGCCATGATCAGAGCACATTTTAGCAGAATAAGATAGCTGTACATGGCTATATTCTAATTGTATACATGTGTATACAGTATGTGAAAGAGTATTACTTGACAAGCAAATAATCTGGCACAGATCGATATTACTGTCTTTCAGCATGTTCAGCCAGACATGAGTGTTCTGTGTTATCAAATGGATGCAAAATGACCAAAGAACAGGAAGGAAAGTTGAAATTACTAGTACTAACACTTGTACCAAGTTGTCTTATCTCACCACTTATTCTGTATTTTTTCACAGAAAAGAAATGAAGAGGAACATTAGCACTTTTATACCCGCAGCACTTCAGATCAAAACCAATCAATTTAAATGACTATGTATTTTAGTTAGGTTTGGTTAAAACTTATTTGAAAGCAGAGACTTGAAAACAACATCTATCTGTATATTAATAAAGTAAGCACCACATTTTAACTTGGAGGTTAGAGCTGCCACTACTTAAAGTGTCTTCAATCAAGAGTGCTAACATTCAAACCAAAACACTCAGCGTTATGGCTCACATGAATTTATAGGAAAATGAAAGCACATGGGTAGCATCAGCTACATGTAATATCATTACACAGTTAAAGGACATCTGTTGTTATGTACATTTCAACATAAATTAGGGTTATGCACTTTCAGAGCACAAGAGACACCGTCTCTCTTCAGAGATTCTACCAAGTTTTTGATGTAGGTTTAAATTACTGTGCAAGAGAGATGTTGGTATATCACTGCAATAAGGATCTCGTCTTGACATCGGTGAACTTCAGGACTAGTATGGTTGAGGGGGAACTTGTACTGAGCACCAGCCATCAGTGCAGATCAGTTCTAAAATTATCACACTGAAATACAAACATTTAATTTCTGACTGCATAAAGATTTGTATTTTTGTTATTTTTTGACTAAGTAATGCTCTGTCCTTCAGAAACCCAAATGCCAACTCCAACTGGTACAATAACCCATAGCGTTTTCAAAGGAATGTCATGTCCCCTCTGGCCACGTCTCAAACATATGAACAGAGCAGACTTCAGAAGCACACCATTACTGGCACTTGTTGGAGGGAATCTGCAAAGTGAATCTGTATTTTTAATATAATCACCTACTCTTTTACTTTTAAAAACAAAAGTACTTTTCAAACATCTGTAGAACACATCATTGGAAATCTGCCTCCCCTTCCTGGTCAAATATCAATTCCAACACAAAAATCTTTGTTCAAATAACATTAAGGCTGCAACATAAGTGATTAAAAGTCAGGAAGATCAGTGTTACTGGTGCCACTTCATCTCTAGCTCACGCTATTGGGAAAAAAAAAAGTGCCCTATGGAATAAGTAAAGGTTTGTTATTAAGACCTGTAAAGGGGACACCACAACAGGCATGCTGGCACATCTATAACTTAGGAAGCCCAAAGGAGTCTTGATGTAATAAAAGACCTTGGTACTGTACAACACAAGGCTCACACTGCTAACCTGATAGATGTAGTAGAGCAAGATAAACCTACAACAGGATTCAAAAGGGAAAAAACATACCACTAAAGGCAAGGGTCTGTGGCTGACACATGTATCAAAAGCAGAAGAAAAGAATCCTCAAGTTCTGATATCCTTTGAGAATTATTTCTGAAATGCTACTGAGATCTTGCACAATTATTTTCTCACAGCAACTAGAAGTAAAGCTTGTGGGTTTTAGTGGTTTTGTTTTTCTTATTACTGTTCCTGCAAATTCACCCAGAGTCAGAGTTTTGTGACTCATGCTTCATAGCAAAGGACTGGACACTTATGTGGAAAATAAAAAACCACAGACTCAAACCCAGCAATTAAAATAATACATGCACACACAGTCATCCAGGAGTTTGAAAAGGATATAAAACCACAAGTTTGAGAGCATAAGCAAACTCCTAATTATTAAAAGCTATGAAGACATTTATCCGGTGGGCAAATTATTTCATGATTGTCTCCTGCAGAGTTTTTTGAACCTTCCTCTGAAACAGCTGGCAGGAGGATACTGGACTAGATACATCAGTGTCTCAATCCAGTATGGTAACTTTTATGTTCTTAATAACTACAAAATCTTTATGGAAGGAGAGAGACAGAGCAGATTCCACTTGGGATCCCCCAGGACTGTGCCATTATGCACTACTGATAGGATTAAGCAAAATAATGAGAAATTACTTTTTTCTTCAGAAAATGTGTTCAGGTTAATCTCAAATAAGGACATGACTCCTCTTATTTTTTTTTAAAAAAAACCTAACTCCTTCAAATTGTCAAGCAATAAAACTTTTTAATACAAGGAACTAAAAAAAAAAGTGTGAAGACATTCACATGCTCCTCTACATACACAACAGCAAAAGTCATATAACCAGGTTAGGTGAAAGTCACAGAATAATTGCTTCTGCTGAGGGTTAATCTCAAATAAGGACATGACTCCTCTTAAGATTATTTTTTTTAAAAAAAACCTAACTCCTTCAAATTGTCAAGCAATAAAACTTTTTAATACAAGGAACTAAAAAAAAAAGTGTGAAGACATTCACATGCTCCTCTACATACACAACAGCAAAAGTCATATAACCAGGTTAGGTGAAAGTCACAGAATAATTGCTTCTGCTGAGGAACCTACAAGTTTGATGTGGCTCAATTGAAGTCTTTCATCAAGATCCACAATAAGAATTCTATTAAAGAACTAACACACAAAGGCAGAACAAAATTCAGCATCAAATCACACAGCTGTGAATTTATGAGGGATGAGAAAAGCTTTGGGTTTGCAAATCAAACAAGCTATGGACATAGAAATAGTTGCGAAGAACAAGGCTGGGCCACCTTTTCTCAAATCAACCATCCTCCATTAGCTCTCCAAGATAAGCCTACTCATATTTCTGAAGACTTGTAACACTTCTTAAGGTCACAGATATACACCACTCAATATGTCACCAACATTCTAGTAAGGACAAGCCCATCCCTGGCTACAGCATGCATCAGTGCTGCTCCCAGTTTCCAGACACAAAAGGGTAACTGTCCTGCTGGTTGGATTCAACAGATTCTCTCTACGGCCCCAGGTCAAGCTCCGGTTCCAAACACAGAAGTAGCAATCCCTGTCCTGAACACTAATATATGCTGCCTTACCTGCATTGTAGTAGAGGTCAGGTCTTTCCAGAATATCCCCATCATGGATGTAGGGCTCAATACGATCATCTCCATACAGATACTGCTCACTGTCATCCATCTGCCGACTCTCCACCATCTCCAGCCACTGAGAGTTGTGCCATCGAAATTTCTCGCTCTGGATTTTTTTAGCCCATTCCTCATCATATTCCTGTTGAAAATCACCACACAATATTTTAGGATGAGGTACAGACAAAGCTGTTTGGTTTAACAGGAAATGGCAGAGGAATTTAACATCAGCAAAAGATGTGAGTTTCAGGGTTTAGTGACTTAAATCCTCTCTTCAGTTTGTAGAGCACTTTGAGCAAACAAGGGAATGACTTTGCAAGAACTAGGCATGATTCTGGTTTTGTACATGTAGCAGGACAATCTTCCCTTTATAGTTCGTAACTGTAAATGATCCAGAAAAACTTCTGCTTTGAGCAAGGAAGTTCCATCATCAGTCTTCTCATTTGGTTTATCAAGAAGAGTCAATTAGTGCCTATTTCCAGGTGGATTTCAGTAAGTAATTACTAACACTGGCCAAATATCCTGTATGGCCTCATTAGATGAGCATTTACTAGGACAACTAGTTACTAGAAAATACAACAAAAAAAAGGTTGTGATAAAACAAATCTTTATTTTGTTTCATGAGATCAAGTAAGACAGGATTTAATATTCAATTCTTGACAAATTTTATAATGGCTTTTTATGTTTAATATTGAATACCCACAAAAGTGGTGCACAATATTTGTAATAGAGAGGATATGGGAATCTAAGATATAAAACTAAAACGTGAGAGGAACTTCTCCAGAAAGCCGAGGAAAACAGGATATAGGTTCCAGCTGCTATGGAAACAAAATGTAGGCATGAAATTTCAGTCTGGATTACAGCCTGATTGCACTCAAGTGATGTGATATTCAATATAAAGGAGCATCAGAAGGAAATGACATAGCCTATGGTCACTGCAATCAGCTGTTTAGAAGGCTCCTCTAAACAAACAGGACTATGTGGGCTGTTGATTACCATGGAGGGATCACAGACCTGTGGATAATACTCAGTTTCTCAATACGACTGGAAAGATAGGGCACAGCTAACTATAGGAAACTCATCAACATCTGACATCTGCAGATGTTATCAATCTGGGAAGATTCACAAATAATGCACCACGGTCAGTACTTTTTAAATCAAAGGATTGTGTGGAACAAGAATAACATTCAAAACCAAAGTATTTCTGTTGGTGGGAAGAAATATACTTGTGAAACGGGTCCCACTTCACTGTCTTCTAACCTAAATACAAAGGAGAGAAAAACTGAAAATCATTTCTTAACTCTCACATTGGTTAGCACATGATCTAGACAGACTTTCCTTGGAGATCTAGCTGGAGTAGTTTAAGGTTTTTAAAATCTGTTTTATTTAGCCCTGAAGGGGATAAGAGTGTTCACACAATTAGTGACAATGCCTTGGCTGCGGAAGTGGTAATTTCTTAAACTGCTCCAGCTAGACATGCAAAAGTAGATCTGTCTATAACTGGAGGTCAAAAAACAGCAGTGAAGACAGAATAAGTTGGCTTAGCAGCTCAGTTTTAACCTCTGAAACCCCTACAGATTGAACTTGAGCTTTTGAACTGACTTAGTATTCAACCTCCCTTGTCTTCACTGCTATTAACATGACATAGGTAACACACTCTACTCCGTGCCTTTTCCACCCTTCTGACTGGTGGATAACACAAAAACCAGCTGGCCCTGACGTTCTGGCAGAGGCTTCTCTGACATTGTTAACCAGGACCTAGAGCATCCAAGATTTCATGGGGAAGCATGTTGTGTTGTGTGACCACAAACCCTTTATTCTATGGCAGTGGCTTTTCAAACTTCGCTTTACCTGGAGAAATTGAAGTTTGTTTCTCTTGGCTTAAAGCAGAATGTAAACTCCCTTTTGATGGAACATCCATGCAAGTACCTGCAGATTTGGGACTCTGATCAGACTGTGGCATTATTCTGAATTTCTCAGATTTCACCTCTGATCAACACTAATTATTAGATGTTTCTGATTACCCTCTGCATCATCCTAGCACATAAATGGTCCTGTTCAAAACCTGGTCTCCTGTATAACTTCCATACACAGAGCAGGTATCACCTGTGGGATCTGTAGATATTCTCAGTGCCTAGTGGCCTCAAATAAAATTCCAGGTTTCTGTCAGCCATACAATAATTCAGTAACCTTAGGGAGGGAGAAAGAAAAAAGGAAAAAAAAAACCCAAAACACCAGAAAACAACAAACCCAAACCTATGCCTCATGCTATTTGGAAAAAGAACATCTCATGCTATTTCTGCCTCTTGATCTTTTCCCCTGACTTCCACTCTCAATTAAAAAGAAAGGCTAGAAATAACAGTGCAAAACAAGAGTTTTCCTGGAAAAAGCAAGCTCATCACTGAGATTTATAAAATGGCCCATTTCAATGATGACATCTGACCAGCATCTTGAAAACATCTCCTTTGCTGCATCTGCCAAAGCTAAACTGTGGGCTATCTATGACGTCAGCCTCCAGCAGTTGTGAATTACTTACAAGCTTCAGAGAAACACCTTGTAACTGCCAGAAATCATACTGCAGTCTTAAGAAAACTATTCCCAGAAATCATGATTGCAAAGAAGTGGGGGGGAAAATAAACAAATTTAACAAACAGCAAATTAGACTAATCTGTTGGAAAGCTGAATCCCTTTTCTATCACCTTGTTTACCTTTAAGAGGTCTCAAAAGCAGAAAGGCCAGCAGCTAAATTACCTAATACACATTTACTGTAAATGCACTTTGAAAACATTTTAATCTTCCCAAAGTTACAATCCCAAATGGATCCCACTTGCTTGACATTGCTGCTCCGTTTCACACCACTGTCTCAACAGGCTCAAAGTCTGTCATATGAATTTCTTCTATCCTTCTAAAAAAAAAAATCGGTTAACATTTCCCAGACTAACTGATTTTTTTTTCTTTAGACAATGACAACAGGGCTGAATAGCCCTATGTATTCTACATTTCCCATCTTGTACTATGAGGCTTAAAACTCCCAGATATTTTACCTCAATCATTCACCTAAGGTTTGGAAAACAGGATTAGCAATTGACTGGCAAATCAGCAGCTACAAGATTGAGCATATTTGCACATTACTTAAAAATCCCAAGTTATCCGTTCAAGCAGTTTGGCTACTTTATTACATTTGTAACACACATTTCACTATGAATGAGCAACAAGAACAAAGAAGTGACTGACGCAGAATCAGATCAATGATCAGTTTTGTCAAGAGTTTCATTCTGGCAGCAATCCTAGAAAAGGATTATTTCCAATAATCTAGAACGATTTACATAACCTCAGCACAAAAAAGTTCATTTAAGTACTGCTAGATCAGGAACATGTCTGTAGATTTTCCACAGAAATGTGCAGAAACACCACTGGGTGAATGATTAATGGAATAACATCAGAATGGAAGAAAAGCTGTAAATGTGGGACTACAGCCAAAAGGCACAAAGAAACCAAATTAAAGAAGTTTAGAGCAAAACAATTCCCTAAAACACAGTAAGTCTTCCAGTAATTATATTTTGAGCTATTAAAAACTTTTTTTTTTTTGAATTTTGTGGGAGTTTTTTGGGTTTTGGTTTTTAAACACATGAAGCACACCTTCTTTATGAAGGAATTCCCGCAAAAACCAAACCAGAGAAGTAAACATCATGGAGATACAAATATAGCTTTGTGTCCTCCACTCCTTTTAAATGTTAGGCTATTAGAAAAATCATTGGGTGGGGGAATAAGAAGGTGGCCAGATTGTGCCTATTCTTTAGCCTCCTGCCCCCCCCGAAATATTGCATGTCCAGAAACATAAAAGGAAGAATTCTGAAGGTTGATTTTATTCTCTTTGGAGCTCCCTTACATCACTGTTCTTAACATTCGGTTTCCATAAATCCTGAAGTGTCATAGAAGATGTATGGTTCGACTCTGAGAGGAATGTGCCATCCTTTTTGAAGTTCTACTTCCAACTTTGTTTACTACTGAACCATTGAAATATTATGAAGCGTTAACTGGCCTATTATCAGAGCGTGTCTGTTCCCTATCAGGGGTCCCCTTTGTCACTGGCTTCCGTCACACCTTGTATCTGATTAACACACTATAGGATAACACAGAGCTACACAGATCTGCTTTGTGTTCTCTCACAGCTGATGAAAAACAGATTTTCCTTTTCACTTTAATGTGGTTGCCCTTTAATTGGGTCTGTAATAGGGTTCATTTGATGTGATTCCTCATACTAAAGTAAAGCTGCCATACAGTAAGTAGAATGTTCATTATGTTCGTGGCTGTACTTGGTGATATGTTACATTTCTTCATTATTTAACCATCCTTAAAACACACAGTTTATAGAAAAGGTTAAAGTAACCATTTATTAAGAAAGAAAAGACTTATCTTGTCTAGCTATTCAGAAGTTAAGCACATCATTTGAACAATGTGCCTCTATAAACCAAGGAGAGAAACAGATGTTATGGATCACCTTCTGCAGGTGTCTATGACACCTACCTTAGGGTAAGTACCAGTGGAGGGCAATTCCTTCACAGACCAAAAAAAATCCTTCTACTGCTTACACCTGTGCAATCCACAGTGAATTCTTCACAGTCAGGTTCATCACTAAATATATTCTGATGAAAAGCTAATAGAAACCCATGATACAAAACTAATGGCAAGGCAGAGAAGAGTGAATGTTCATGCTTCTTAAATTTAGGTGCCTACAAAAAATGTACACTGCTCATAGCGTTCCTTTATTGTCAACAGCTAAAGAGAGAAACTTCTTTGTTTCCTTTGGGGGAATGGAAGGTATCCCACTGGCAAACTGTTATAAAAGTAACAGAGGTCAGTAGTTTGGCTCACCTTCACCTTAAACTCCAAAGAGCAAGCACCATTGCTAGAAGGAAGTCTGTCCAAGACAGGTTTATGTGAAGACAAAAACAATAAGGACATGCCTGCCCCATTTAATGCTGCCTGCAGTGTGGTTATTCTTCTAGTCCAGGTAGAGACCTCCCTGCTGGGTGCAAGCTCTTTGGTACAAAAAGCTACCAGCACCAAAGCAGGCTGATTGCAAATTTAACAATGCAGAAGGTGATCAGTAAAAACACACCAACAGTTCAGCCTGCCACCCCACACCCTAGCTGCTCTTCTGCCCACCTCTCTGTATTCATGACTGTTAGAGGCTAACAGGGGAACCAGAGGCACCCCAGAAAGGGGCAGTCTTGACAAGTGAAGGGAGAACCTTTTTCCCTGGAGTGACTACAGCACTCTTCACAGAAAGAGGACACCAAGCTGGAGTCAAAGGTTATCTATTTTCAGAATATGCTGCCTATTCAAATGAAGTCCACACCAAATCCCTGTAGTCTGCTCTTCCTTGATTCTAAGAGAACTGGCCAACATCTTGCACAGCTGGCCCCAAATCCCAGAGCACTGAACATTCACATCACATTCCTGCTTCTTTTGTGAAATTCCAGCATTCCCAACATGGAGGATTTGTGTCAGGGCACTTAGCTAACAAGGAAAGTTGCAAGCCATTCATTAACACAGCTTTCCATATTAGGTAAACATTTTTGGCATTCATTACAAATACCTGGGGTGAAGAATGAGAGCTTGAAATACACCTTAGGCACGAGACCCTTCCTAAATCACAGGGACAATGATGTAGCTATCTAGAAGATGTTTTACTTCTGCAGGAAGCATAACGATCCACTCTTGATCATAAGAGAAACAAGATGGTACAACAGGCCTGGATTCAAAGCTGGAAAAACACTGAATAGGAAAGCAAGGGGAAATCTGGGAGGAGGAAGGCTCAGACTACACAGTCCAAGGATCTAGTCATGGTTAATTAAATAGCCTTTGAATAAATGAGAAAAATCATTTAACTGCAATAAGACTGAGCTAGGAGCAGAAACAGAAATCTGAGAGATTAATAACCACCTCGGCTCTTGATGACATTGTCCAAGGTGAACACAGCAAAACCATCTCGAGTAAGCTGAAGTTTCTTTCCACAAGCTTTCAGTTGCAGGTGTCCAGGCATTGAGGCAGAGGAAAAGGCAGCTTCATTCGCCTGAGACTCCTGCACCAGCTGTTGATTCCAAGCTTTCAGCTGAGCCATAAGACCTGTCCTACTTTAGGTGTACTAGTACACTACATTAAACTAGCTGCTTGGTGTCAAGACTCAGCAGATGACACAAGACTGAGGCATTTCTAAATTACCATCACAGACTTTCATTTTGACTAAAGTGATGTCTTGCACTTACCAGTGCAAAGCTGAGAGTCCCAGTACATATTATTCTAAAGCAGCACATCTGTTTCAGTTCATCAATGGCAGAGTCCAGCCAAGCTATATTAAACAAATCATCACTAGTGTAATATTTCCATAATTTCTGTGACAATTACTTTACTACAGAAAGCATATCTCCCCTAAGGCTTATAAGGCATCTGATTTTCTTCAGTGTTATTTCAATCACACTATATAGAGCTTATTGATGAGTGAAAGAAGCATTTGTCTCTCTGAGAAGAAATTACTTTCAAATCTCTGCTCTCCAACATTTAGTTTCTGATTTCCATCATCAGAGGAACTAATCCTGTCAGTATGCATGGAACAACAAGACTGAAAACTTCAGTTTTTCTTGTTGTGGATTTAGCACAGATGAGAAGTTTCACCAATCTTGGAGACTCTGTCTGTTCAGACACCTCAGAAGGTACTGGTTGTGTAAAACTGCCACACAACCAAACACCTCAGTGTTTACAGGCTGCTTTACCATATACTCTGGGCTGAATGACAAAACGCATATCAAGATCTGAGGTTTGGTAACTTACTGTTTCATATTTTCTTCCATCACCATCTAGAATGTGTTGCCTTTTTTGTTTGTGATTTTTGGTGCTGGTAGAAAAAAATGCAACCAGCTTACAACATAGCCAAGAAAGCAATCAACTAGCAGTTCTCTCTTCCAGAAAAGAGGGCATATTGTGCCTCCTGTTTCCCCACAGGGGCATGGTGTTAGTTATGGTTTATGCAATTTACAACCCAACAGCTAGACAATAAAGCTAAAAAGACCTTCTCAGAAAGGGAACTCGCCTAACTTATTAGTGAACACTATTCTAGGTGTGTCACTGCTCCATAACCAGAGGAAAAAAAAATTACCACCACACAAGCTACTCTCAGTATTTGCTTGATATCTTCTCTTCTTCCCCCAGTAACAGCAGTATCACATAATTTCCTCCCTTTATTCTTCCTCAAGGCCCCTGAAGTCCCGTCCAGTGCATCTTGCAAGTTGAGAAGCCTTTCCCATCCCTTACCATAGCACTCCTCATTTACTCATGGCTAGCAAAGATTACCTCTTCTTTGAAAGGGAAAAAAGCCAACTACATTTTACTCATGTTAATATTGAATATGAAGCTATGTCTTAACGTATTTATTCTTCTATAGTCTATAAAATAAGTGTTGCTTAATAATATTAGTAAAATAATTTTTCAGTAACTAGATACTACTCTGTAGCATGTTGTAAAGCTCCCTCATATGAACAAATCAATGCCTGAGACACTTAGAAATTGCCACAAGACAAAGCAAACATTGGAAGCACTCAGATTGTCTGTCCTCACCCAGAAGATAAAAATCTTTCTGCTGTTTCCACTGGAGGTGGCCCTGGAAATAACTGATCTTGGTAAGCTAAACATAATGCCCATCATAAAACACCAAGTGCAAATTCACCTTAGTTGAAATCTTGCCCTTAATGAATGTTAATGGCAACTCTGCCACTAACTAGTGTAGCACGATTTTCATTCCATACCTTCATGAAGCAAAAACAGAACCAGATAAAAAGAGTTTCAACACAGAAAATGCTGTGTCACTACTTTAAGAATAATATTAAATTAGAAGGCATTATTAATAAGTAAACCAGAAAAAGACAAACTAGACTATAGTACTGTGCAGAGTAAGTTAGGTTTTACATTATATTTAATGTTTCAGAGAACAAGCTGCAATAAGTGTAATTTAACTAAAGAAGAAACTCAGGAAAAGCATTAAGGTAGTCAAAGACATTACTCCTGACTCATAGTTCAGATCTCTTTGGCTATAAGATTTAACTTCACGATAGCTACTCCAAATCCAAAAGGATGTACCATCTGTACAATCCTAAGACACTACAAAATACTAAAATACCTTTGTCAATAGAAGTCAAGTCAATTAAACAGGCCAGGCGGAATTTTAACAATGAAACAACTTTTAAGTGGAATCTGTTTCACAATGTCTTTACTTCAATGAAGAACACCCTAGGAAATATTAATGTTTCTAGAGTTAAGGATCCCCAGAAGCAGATTATACATGCTATAAGAGATGATCAAGTAAGAGCACTTCATAATTTAGGATTCTTTATTTTTTCCAAGTCAGTAGTTTAATTCAAAACAACTGTCCCAAAAGTTTATTGTGATCAATGGACATTTGGACAAACTAAGTCATGTAGCTAAAGGAAACTTATTCAAGAGTTGAAGACAATATTAAGAAATTCAACGATGGCCCCCCAGAAGAAAACAACCAGCTTCAGGATCACTGCCCACATTTTCTTTTTGAAAGAAATATTGGTATCATGCAATGTAGAAAAGCTGAATAAAAGCTGCTGGGTAACAAGAGCCATTTGTTTGGAGAACTAAGACATAATGAAAGCTTAACATACTTATGTAATGTGATTCATTTATTTAAGTATAAAAGCACTCTTTAAAAGTGTCTGTAGTGCAAAGCTAACTAGTATGAATTTTCCAAGTACACATGCACTTCTTGGAAGTTTGGTACACAGCCTAGATTAATGACTATCATTGTCCCATGAAAATTGATCTTTTACTTAATGTGATAAGAAAGTTGCACATGAAAAATATTCTCAATTTGCAAGTTAACGCTACTTAGTTATTTTAGAATTATCTCCTGTAAAGAGGTTCTTGAAGGACAGATGATAAAAAAAAAATCAGACCTACCGCTATAATATCCAGAGTGTTGTCACAAACTTTGCGAATCTCAGCATTTTTATCATGCATCAGGTCTATAAGATACGCTGGAGCCTCTGGAAAGAAACTGTTAAGGATAAAAGCGCTTTTTTTTTCCCACCCCCCACAGCCCTGGGTTCTTCATTTCATTAAGAACTGTAGTCAGGCTATTTTCCCTCACACATGAAGTTCAGCAGTCTTCCCCTAACCACTGGTTTGTTTTGTTTTTTTTAAAATCACATGTTAATATACCCAAATACTCTTCAGAATTGCTGGAGAAAAATTACATACCCCTTACAAAGAAAATACATTTTCATCTGTAACAGGAAATCCATGCACCCAACGTGTTAACCCAAAAGGCACAGGTTCTGTGGAATGGCTTAATCTTTTGAGACTGTTACTTCTGTAATCTTTAGGGACTTTTCTTGTTTTAAAAAAAGATTTCCAATGTATTTGTCTCAAAAATACCGAAGATAGATAACCTATTGTGCAAACAACAGCATTAACACTAGTCTTGTTCAATTTGAGTGAAAAAAGCGTTGTTCAGATGTTGTTGCTTTATCATTACAGATACAAAGAGATGCTTTTTTTTTTTGCTTCTTTTTTTTTTTTTCAAAGCTAGCGCATTAACACTAGTCTTGTTCAATTTGAGTGAGAAAAGCGTTGTTCAGATGTTGTTGTTTTATCATTACAGATATAAAGAGATGCTTTTTTTTTTTTTGCTTCTTTTTTTTTTTTCAAAGCTAGTCACCTAAGAGTCCAAATAGGAGACAGAACAACCTAAACTGTTCCACAGAGCTTAAAGGCAAAAGGACATTAAGTAGTCTTTGTATTGTTAGCAAAGTAATCACTAATCTGCTATCCCTACAAGGGCTCCAATTCAACTTATTCTTCATGTTTCGATAAAATTTATCATTCAGTTAAGGCCCACAAAGACAGCTAGTGCCTCTTTCCACAGTTTTTGGATCATCTGACTTAGCTCAACATCAGCAGTGACTGAAAGAATAAGTAGTAAAGACTGAATAAGAGTTAAAAGCATCATACAAAAAAAATGAACAGATGCGCGACATGAAGAAACCGAAGAACAGATTCAGTCATCAACAGGAGGTGAAAAAAGGAGAAAGAAGAAAGCCAGGAACAGAAATCAAAGTCTCCACAGTAGGAAGAAGATGGGAGACTTATGCCAAACACAAAATTCAAAGAACAAATAGGTGGGTGGAAAAATGCAGAGCGGGCATTATTTATGTTGGCCAGACTGGTATAAGAAAGAATGCTATTGAAGTATTTTAATGCACATAACTTCAGACTATGCAGCATATATGTAAAATGGTGCAGTGCAAGGAGTTAGTCTATGCTCTAGATAAGATTTTCTATCGACTGTGATTTTGACTATGATTTGCAACACAAATTCATACAGTAATTCAGACTGGATAGGAACTAAGGGGTCATCTGGACCAGTGATCCCCCTCCTATGCCCCTCCCTGTTTCAAAGCAAACTAACTTTTAATCTTTACTATTAATCTTTCAGTCCCTCTACATGCCTAGGCAGCTTGGATTTTTTCTTCAGTTGAAATAAACCATTTACAAAGAAACCTCTGAGATCAGGAGGTTTATGCAACAGAAATATAGGCCAGACATCAGAGATGGCAAATTAAGTGATGTAACATTAGATGTTTTATCTTTAAAAAGATACGGGTTTCCTTGATAATGACATCTCTGGTGGCTTGGTGGAAGACCATCTGATAAAATACATA